ACAAACCAACAGTGGGGGGCAAGGAAGGGGAGACAGATGTTAAAAGAGAAGCATATCTACATTACCTACATAAGAACTATACAAACGAGAGGAGGTCATTTGGCCCATCGAGCTCGCTTGGGGAGAACTTAACTAATAGATCAGAGTTGTTAAAATCTTATCTAGCTCTAATTTAAAGTTTGCACTACGTTATCAGGAAGACTATTCCATACTCTGACTACACGCTGTGTAAAGAAGTGCTTCCTTAAATCCAGTTTGAAATGTTCTCCCACTAATTTCCACCTTATAGTTGGTACATGATAAAGAGGATTAGTCCTATAGTGGGGCATGGTGAAGGGGATTTGTCCTACGGTGGATGCATGATAAAATGGGATTAGTTCTTTAGTGGAGTCATGGTAAAATTGAATTAGTCCTATAGTGGAAGCATGATAATAGCCATTATCTCTATGTAGGGGGTGGGACAAAAAACATTGGCTTTGTATTAGGGGTGTAGCAAAGGGCATTTGTTCTACATCAGAGGCACGGTAGTGGGAATTAGTTTTGTGTAGGGGGTATAAAGGCGTCATCTCTGTGTAGGCGGTGGGACAAAAGGCATTGGTCTTGAATTGGGGGTGTAGCCAAGGGCATTAGTCCTATATAGGGGGAATGATACTAGGCACTGGTTTTGTGTAGAGGGTGTGAAAACAGCCATTGGCCCTCATGTGTAACTGAACAGGGCATGTTGCAGCTCTTCTGAGTAGGGGGTTTGGCAAAAGCATCAAGAGGACTATAGATATGACTGCCTGAATGGCACATATGTAACAACTGACCCACACAGTATCGTGACTATTACAAAAAAAACTTAAATTTGCCTACTTTATGGAACAAACAGGCAATTTAGCATTAGAGGAAGATAATTTGCCTGTTTCCCCTCAAATATCTCTACAGTCATTCTTTGTACTTAAATGTAATTCATAGTTTACCAGTGGTGTAAAGTACTTGAGTAAATGGACTTCGTTACTGTACTTAAGTATTTTTTTGGCTACTTTGT